CTTGGGCGGAAACCTGCCTGATCTTCCTTACTCCGAGATTCCCATTCTACACTAAGGCGGCGAACGACAATCGATACCATTAGTTTTGTCACAACTGGTGTTAGGCTAATACCACTGTGGCTAGAAAAGCCTGTGCGACTGCACTTCGTGTATATTGCCACTATTATCGATTCACTCTAGATAGCTGGAATGTTCTCTGCCTTCCAAACATGCCCGAACATGAGGATCAGTGCTTTGCAGAGTGTGGGTGTGATCGAATCCGGGCCAACAGCACGAAAACGATTAAGCACTTCGATCGCGTTTCGGATCTCAGCTACAGATGGAGCCTCTAAACTGGCTGGCCGTGGTTCAGCCTGCAACAGCTAAATAAATAGAGGTCCAGAAGCAAGGGGACAACTGAAATATTCTCGAAAGTGCTCCGCCCAATGAAATATACGGCGCTCCTAATTGTGAATCAGTTCATCTACGCTGTCTCTGATTGTTTCACTGATGCCTGGTTTCCTGGAACCAGTAATGCGGACCAGCTGGAGGAACTTGCGATAATTGCTCATGCTTCCTCCATATCTTGAGCCCGACTGGTCCACCAGGCTTTTTTGTCAGCACGCAGGCTCCGCTATAGTTCTCGCCTGATAGTCCAGCAGGTTACATTGTATTCAGAGCCAGCCGGGATTCCAATAGGTTTACCGAATTCTCGTATATTCAGCGACTGATGCGGTGACGATTTTTGGTAGTGCCGCTATCGGATGCTTATGCATATTGCATGGCAGCCAAAATCCTATTCCCCTGAATCTCAGTGTCATTAGGACAAGAGAGCGAAAGTTCGGTACTCAGGGCATCGTGGCACGTCTGCCTGTCCGACGGCTGAGATAACTTCTCAGTTGCCAATCGAGGGAGTCGCTTTTGTACGCCTCCCGGTAAAGTTCATGGGAAAACAGCAGCGTACCAAGGCATGATCAGAGTCGACGCAAGCACTCCAAAACCAGCGAAAATTCAGGATGAAACCACGCCACCTGTAACTAATGGCAGCGTGGTCTATTTGGGTCCATCGCTGGTCAGCTACAGGAGGACGCAAAGTGACACTTCGGTGCTCACCAGTTCTAAAAGCAGTACTACTAACAACTGGTGCTCCGAACACAGCTTTAACAGCCACTCGTCGTTGTCCGTCCGTTCGGAGTTAACTCCACATTGATTACCTAACAAAGCTTCGGAAGAGCTCAAACGACCTACTTGTGCATTCATATCCCGTGCAAGAATTATGATATCTGAATTATTAACACGGCGTAGTAGCGTGTTCACTTCGTGGTACAAAGCGTCCTTCGCTGAATCAGAGCTGCAGTCGGTGGGGACATAAGCGGAAACCAAAAAAAACAGCGTCTAATGCTACTCAGTGAATCAACCTTAGTTGATGTTGTCAAACGGACTACACACAAACGGTTGCTCACGGGAATCTAAACAACCAACGACGACTTAGCCTTGGAACTGAGAATAAGGCCCACTGCAGCTTGACCAGTGGTTGCCCCATCAGCGTCTCCGGATGCGTGTAACCAATAGCGAGGGGACAAACCGGGTGCAGTTAATTCAACAACCCCGTGAGCATCATTGATCCTAGTTTGGGACACACGACACACGTTAATATCCAGCGTGTCTAACGTACGTGCGAGTGCATCCTGTTGACCTAGTTGACTTAGAGTGCGATTGTTAAGCGCCTCCAGGTAAACGGGACAGTGTGGCCTTATAAGGAACTGTTGGCGATTAATGTCCAGTGGGTAATGCGGGAACATAGTTGCAGTGACATTGCGGTTGCTGTCATTTAAACTGGGGATTATGGAAGTGAGGCTAACGGGGATTAGGAGGCGTTAGTAGTAGCATGTTTTCGCGTATCCGCCCTGTTGTATGCAGCAGATAATACGATCTTTGATAATCTGTATGACGGCCGATACAGGATATGACTGAAGTATGAAGAAGTCATAGTTGTACGTGGGATGAGATACTGCCAGGACGCTGAGATCTAGACCGAAGAACGTTTAGGGTCTTCAACCAAAGCCTTGCGCTCAAAAGCCTGTCCGCAAGGCAGTGGATGTGGTAACGATTCGGTTTTACAGAAATGGACGCCATACCATTTCAAACCCCCAACCTGGAGGACCAGGAGACTGAGTTCGCCTGACCCCTAAGCATTGACCAACCTGGAGGACTAACTTAAGAGGTCCAGGGCCCAACCCAGTATAGCTGAATAGGTCGATGAGGTACGCAAACCGTCACACCACGTTAAGGTCCAGTCTCGTCGTGGCGGATCACCGTGGCCAATCTTTGCTGCTATGCACAGAAAATTTTAAATTCTGTTTCCAACAAATCCCATGCCGCGAAATAGATAGAGCGGCTGTAAGCAGTTCTTTGTGTCGACGTTTCCATGATAATGATACAGTGGAGAGTAAGTGTAGTTATCTCACAAATTCCTTACTACAAACGATATGCCGATGGCATTATCGTGCTGGTTCTTCGAACACGCAAGTTTAGCGCTTGGCACACCAGCTTAATAGCGTCCATGTCAACTTAAAAGTTACCTATGAATTGGAGTCCAATGATCGTCTGCCTTACCTAGTGAGTTGGGTACCTGAACTGAACTGCCGTACCTGGACACATTCATCAACCAAAGGGATACCGGGCTCGTTAAGCGGTCAGAAGCTGACATGGCATAGTCCGTGTCTGCACTTGACTATTTTCACACAGGCGTACGTTAGTGAAAACTGTCCATCCGTACCAAGTGTATTTGCTTGAGCGGTCGTCTGGTTGAGGAAGTAGAGATTATTACCATAACGCTCATGGACAACGGATACCCTAGATGCTTCATCGAGAAGCACAGCCAGGTCAGACTGCCGAAATAAACGATGTTGACAGTATCCAATGTAAGGGCAGCGCAGCCACAACGGACAACCAAGCATTTAATCTCTGCAATTCAGAGAACCTACTGTGCTGCAGAGGCTGTAATTAATAACATAATCCGGAAACTGTTGCTACCTTCAACAAAAAAGTGGAGCCTGTTGGCGTCAAATCATCTCGTAAGTACCAATTTGTGTCGTGATTGCAGTCAGCTACATACGCAGAACCGAGAGGACTTTGAGTTCCAGAATGAAAGAACACGTACCTAACTGGGTTCAACCAACCCTCCAATATTCCGTGCCAAAAGCGTCTCCAATTTTGGTGTCCCATCATCGGATTTTATTACACCACCCTAACACACACTTCTTATGGTTCATCGCAAATATTACAAGCCGCAAAGGTCGAATACCTATCCGGAAAAGCACCAGACCATCGTTTCGCTCTACTGAACTCGTCAGTGGTTGGCTTAGCCTTTGATTACGCACAAGTAGACGAATTTTATAATTTGCCAGGCTCTACCGGTCCGCAGAATGCTATGTGGACTCACAGCCACTTGCAGAAGTTCTGGCACCGGACGGCCGACCACTGTCCTCTACACGGGCAGTAACCTGCATGGCAGTGGAGAATGGGTTGGGCCATATCACAGTTAGATTTCAATCCGTGATGATCGGCTATCGTCCCCATGGCTCAGTAGCATAAGCTGCTGGCTAGTGGTGCAAGCCACTAGCGGTCATGTGTTCGATCCCCAGCAGGGGACCGAGGGAACGCGCAACACTGACGATCCCAATAGAACGAAATAGTTGTCCGGTGCTTTTCCGGATCGGTAGCTGACTTTTTGCGACGAATCAAATAAATCATACCAGATTTTATCCCGACACATCAAGTCGCAAATGAGGCAACTAGTGTCCTCAAGAACCGCATGGATTTTCCCCGCGTTATTGCTCTTGGTTTAACGCCGAGTCTCAACATCATAACGTATTCATTTCATCGCTGTCTCACGAGTAATTCCCAGCTGTCTTCTGCTAAAGCTCTGTAAGTTTCGCTTTTAGTGACGCATGACTAACTAGACCCTAAACTAACCCCCTACGTAATTTTTGACATTCGTCGAATGGACAACTGCTCAAACATTGTGAAGAGGTTGCGTTACATATTTAAAGAAATGCTTCTTGGGCATATTCCCTAGCTGAATGATGTAGCGGAACCGCGTTGCTACATCTCTCGTTTTGTTGGCTGGTTATATTTCTGACTGCACTTTGAAATAGGGTTTTTGTTTTAGCATCCACTTGTAGTGTTTGACCCAATAGTCCGATTCATAAGGCACTTGAGGCTTGAAACATGCCTGAGTTCCTCGATCTTTTTAAAACCGGTCGGTCGGATTCTTGAGGTTGCAGGGCAACCTCTACGTTCTGACACCGCAGGAAATGAAACGCCTGCCATCTCTGTTCAATCACAGGTGGATTTCTACGGGCATGCATCTAATTAGTCAGGAGTTTCCAGACTTGGTGTGCGCAACGGCACAAAAGCGATCAACACAGTCAAGCACAACTTGTGCTCCACTCGGTTCGAACACATGTGGCCCGTCGTCTCCTATGGCGAAGTACTAGGACAAGCTGAGCATCGACTTCCCTCTCAAACTCTTATGGTAGAGACGGTTAGCCCTACCCATGACCGTAGATCTGGATGCTATGAATGACCACGAACTCAATGGGAAAGTGCCACAAGGCATAGCACATTGTGCGTTGCTAACCATCGCACCATCCCCTATCTCATGGCAATATTTTTATTTTCCGACAACATATAAAGAGACTCGCTTTCGCAGGCGATTTGTCAGCCTAGCTCCTTATTCCGGAATAGTTGCATGAACTGCGAGTATGTAAAGCGATCCCCTTTGCCATTGTCCACATCCCCCTTACGGGTCATGAGAGTCCGATAGTTTCTCAATCGGTCCTGCGGCCGCTGAGTCCGTACCAATGAGGCGATATTGGCTACTCATGAGAAAGAAGCTAGTTGAGATTGCCTATAGATAGCTATCACTCACTGCAACACTAATGTTTCAAATATCGTGGGGTCACACGTCGTTCTCAAATGGTCGACCACTTGATCTTATCCGATTTACTTTTCAGAGTTCTGCAACGATAGAAGACGATGCGTCCGTCCATGTATCGCAGAGCATATCATCACCCTATGAACAGCAATTGGAGCTTCTAATATCATTACTGGTTCCGAAATTACCTGTGTTACAATCTATATTGCGTGCATGCGCCGATGCTACCAATCGCAAAAGGAACACACCAACCTGCAAATCCTTTGGCGTGTGCTTTGTCTTAGGAGGCGAGGCAACTGTGCGTGTGAAACAGCTGGACGGTTCGATCCCAACCAAAGGAGGACGATGCAGCCATCTGGCCCTGCAGTGTGCCGTACGCTGGTACGAGTTAATGAACGGCCGAGAAGGCTATGAGGGAATGCATTGTGGATTGTTAGCGGGAGCTTCAGACGGCTTAGATGGACCTGGCGCTTACGGTGGTGGTGTCTGGGTGAGCACGTCGCCCGTTTCAACGATTGCCACAGAAGACGCGTATCACGAAGCTGTGCAATCCTTACAAACGTACAACTCATATGAATTCTTCCAAATTCACGGGCCGAATTGCATTATTCCTGCGAGACTGACAAACACAAATGTGATGGACATATTCATAGCAACTGCAGTAATCTATGCGGATCAGCATACCGCACGCGCATCCCTTTAATCGAGCTTCCATCAAGACAGAAGTCAATTTCATTTTTGATAGCAATATGTACAAAATGTACACGAAGTTACATTAAATCATTCTGTGAAACATTTTCACTTTCTGATGTGGACATAATCTCTCCTTCTTCTGCGACATTCGTGGATCCCAAGGCATCGACTGCCATACTTGAGTACCTGTCAGATTTTTCGCAGTGAGAGTTGTTAGTAATATCGTTTATTTCCGACCCTTTAAGTTTTTTTCTCGATTCTAGACGTTGCTTTCTGCGTTTTCTAAAAACGAAAAAGTGGATATGTTACTAAAAATTTAATAAAACATACGCCGACGTGAATTATCATGGTCTTCAGGGGATCTCTACGGACTATGCTCGGTTAAAAAAAATCGGGTAAAATGCAAATGGGGAGCATCAGAATCATTATACAGCATTCATAATCCCACTGAAAATAATCGGAATTTCTGGTATATTAATGGTGTTTATGGCTACATTGGCATTCAGGTTGGGAAACATTGGCGGTCATTCTGATCAGTGCAAAGCACATTTTTCAGCTCAGGTTCTATCAGCAGTCTTCGAGTTTCAATCTCATGGACGGATACGCGAATTAACATATTCGGCTGAAGCATGTGTTAGTAACTTCACCATCCGAACGCGTCCCAATCCAAATTTCTTACTTGTGCTCTTCTGCGAAACTTTAATCCTCACCGTATGGCGTGCTATGTTACGACCGTAACTGATCAAAACAGTTAAGTGATTAAAAGTACATTAAGGAGGTAGATTCCGCATCTCCACTTCCCGGTAATTTTCGATGCCGTAATCCATCAACAAAGAAATTACCTCGTTATTGTACTCCACAGCTAGGCTTTCAGACTAATTGCTATTCGGATGACATTGACTTCTATTCTGACTTCGTTCAACGGTCGAAGATCCCTATGCCCCATGTTTTCAAAGGATATGCACACTGTTGCAGCAACCACACAGCACCATGAATGTCCACTAATAGAGGTTGGCTGTCACACTGCCTAAGCATCAAGCAGTCACGATTCAGGGTCTCCCTTGAGAATTTGAATATTCTTTACCCGGTAGAACTGATGAGGAGGAGACTTCGCGATTGTTCACAGACAGTTTGTGGTGCACTAAAGAAATAATAGTATGTTCTCGCACAGTGTGGATGAGTCAACTCATTTGGCAGCTAGTGGTCCCGTTGGCGTATTTGGTAATGCAGTTGCCTAGCAGCTGAAGTTGCTGTTTCGTAGGCGCCGATCAGCAGTCTGAGATAAAAAAATATATACTGGTGAATAAAAATGGTCGCTAAATTCTTTATTTCCGATCTGATAGTTGCAACGGATCTCGGAGTAAGAACGGAAAAAATGCATCAGCAGTACACCTGCACACAGTACTAACGTTTCGCTGCTATGCGACGACCATCAGTCGAGCATGCGCTCTGTATACTGAGAAGTCGCTCGCACCTACGCGGACTCGAGCCAATAGCCTCCGGACTACAAGGTCTTACACCAGTCGGTCTATTGTTCCTTTATGACATAATAACCTATTACTCCATGATATGATATCTGTAGGTACCCAGATTACTGGCTCTAGAGGCAAATTTCGCCCTCGCGTTAACCGTGGTGTGACACGGAAACAAATATTGAAAATTTAAATGATCGCAGGAAACGTCAGTGGTTAAAAGCAAAAGACGGGTTGCAGACGCGACGTTGGTTTTTCGTCTACCTGATACTGAACTTTCCAGCAACTAGTGCCACTATATCGATTAGACACCCTGACGCCTTATCTAGCGAGATGGATGTTGACGACTAGCTTACGCGTGAGAGATGCAGTCAGTGGGTGTGCGAAAACCCTAACTTATAACATACACTCCAATGCAGCATCCTTTCTCATTCAGTTTTTTTTACTATGGAAAGAGGGCATCAGCAGCATGCCGATACACTGTACTGACGCTTCGCTGCCACGCACCCACCACCAATCATGCGAGGTCATCTGCACCTACGTAAATTCGAACCGACGAACTAGGGACTCTAAAGCATGCATGAAATCCTTTCGGCCAGCGGCCGAACAATGGTGCACAGGCACTAACGGTAGAGGAGAAGTATTCTCTTCATTTCTTCGATGCGCAATGGCCAGAACTTCGATGGGTGATGAACTAGTATCCTGAAGTCCCCGTACATAACCGAAACTTTATAAAGCCACAAGGACACTGCTAATGCGCGCCGTAACCGTGTCAGTGAATTGATCTCCACAGGTGGGACCTGTGAGAATCTGTGGAGTGTAGGCGCAGCCCTTTACACCACACTCGCAAACTTTCACAGCGAAGCGGCAGCATCATGGCATAGTGGTGCATCTTTGTTTTTGATGAGTAGTACGGATTGTGTGCACTTACATTTCAGGGCGATTTCGTTTGCCCATCTGGGAGGCTAACTCCTCGGTTACGGCACACATCTGTATGTAGAGCGCCCATAGTATAAGCATAAGTTCTGCGGTCAAATGCCCAACAAAATTGCAATCGTGTGAGGGCATGCGATATTTTAGAAGATGGGCGTCCAACCTGCATCACTGCTCCACAAGAAGATGCCGATGACAGTCAGAAAACTGGCCAGAACCATCTGCATACATTACTGCTGCCACATAAAAAGACTGCTCCGGGGAAACTATTTTCGATCGTGCGCAACAAGACAAAGGGAAAAGAACGGGGTTATCCATCGAAACCTCAAGCAGAGATATCGATGATGTAAAACGCTACATTATCCTAAGGCTTAAGCAATGGTAGATCGTAAGGAGTCGGTGAGGTAATGGCGGCCCACAACCGAATGGTTTTCGTGGGTCACACAAGTGGATTTGGCTCCCGGAAGCAGGACTCAAAATGTGATCGTCGGAAGTTTTGCACAGCTGGGTCGTTAAGCTGAAAAGGGGATAAGGTAAATGTTTTTGAAAAGTATATCGGTTGCCATCCTACCAACTTTCCTACTATTTTATCGCGCGAGAACTGCTGCTGTGACATACCCGAAACACCGAAAAGATGAAAAAACAAGATCACTCATGCCACTCGATGGAATTGCGTAGGTTAAAATGCCGCTAAACAATATGCTGAGATAACAGTGGGCAAAGTGGCAAGACTAGGAGTTTCGGTGCTTCGCGGAGCAGTCTACAAGGAACAATGAGGGTGAACTTGCGATTGCATACTAAAAACATAGAATATAATGAGGGGTCACACAATTTGCCCGTTGACGCATCTTTCCGCACGACGTGACTAACGTGCACCTTGGAAATTAGTGTGCTTTGATAACATTCCAGTGTCGTAATTTCGCAGTCAACCGGCGCGAAAATCGTGACAGTCGTTTGAAAAAGTATAAGGCACTTGATCAGCCTTACTCTGCAAGTAGTGCATGCAGGCACGATTGAATTAATAAGGAGGCTTGGTACGCTGTGGTGTCATCGAAAACTGCATGATCTCAGGAATCAGACTAACCGTTTTAATTTGTCTTTTATCCGTCTGCTGAGTGCAAACATGGTCTTTTTTTCGGTATCCGTAATCCCTTGAGACATCTTGATAAGATTCAAAAAAACGCCTCCGGGAGATCTTCGTCGTGTTCCATCCTGCACAAAAATAGAATGGATGCTGCAAGTGTTCAAAAAGAAGAGAATCGGTTGAGCTGACAGTTGGATTTTATGCGCCAGTCAATTGGGATGCCTCAAAGTATAATGCCGTGTTGATCTAATGTTAGGTGTTGCAGTACCCGCCTTGCGTTTGGGTTGCGATAAGCATAAAACATAGTTATTTCGGAAGCATCATCATCGATAGGGGCAGACTGTGCCAGCGTTTTTGTCGACGAAACCACGGAGTGGAATGAAGGGAATCCAAAGATTTAGAATCAAGGTGCTTACACTTAGGCAATGTCGAATGGTCACAAACAACGGGCTGTCGTGCGAAAATTGAGTGGAATCGATGAGATACCCTCGCATCGCAATCAGCCCTACTCAACAAAAAACTCAGTGCCATACGTGTTTAAACAGAGAGTCAAGCTCGGATAGCAGCAAACACCATTGGTCTTTTATGGACAGCATCCTAGGATGTTTAAGTCTAATGCAGAAGACTGTCTGGAAGGTAGGGTGTGCATATATAACAGCTTGGTAGTCAGTGGATACACTACTCACCACCAGCTTGTCAGGCTATAAACACCAAGGTTGTGCTCTCTTTGGTAAATGGAGAGCGGGTACACATGGGACCCATCTTAGCTCGGTGAGCCAAATCGAGCATCGTCCGGTATTTGCCTGCGCATCACACGATTGTAGACATGCAGTTGCCAATCTGCACGACCTGTTGACGAATACGAACAATGTCCTGCGAGTTTCTAAATTCGCCGGGACAGTATCGTTGCGCCCCCAATCATCGTCGGACGTGAGCAGCGAATGGCGAGTGGATAAGTTAGGTCCAGCTAGCTCGAGTACTGTAATGGGCCGTGTATCGCAGATCGTATGAAGTAAGAGACGTCGAAACTTAAAACATCTGGCACTGTTCCAAGACGTGGTGGGTTTTCGCCTGGCAAGCGTTCTCCAACTAAAAAGGCACGAAAGTCCATTTAACAGCATTGAGACATGGCGGATGTGCCTCGTCACTGAACCAAGTCACTGTCCACAACTACACACTGGCAAGTTGACTGGAGTCATATTTCACTATTTTCTCGATACGTATGAGAAAGAGACACTGTCTGCACATACCGTCACCACTACATTTATAGTGCTTTTACTGTTTTCTCTTTGCATACATGAACCCAAATTATTGTCATCTCACTAACCACATTGTTACTCATTAGTACTTTTTCCATTATTGTAAACTGAAACTTTCGGCCAATGTTGATTACATGCATAGCAACGTGCCTGTTGCGAAACGAAATTGCTTGCAAATTTCGATCATGCCTCATTCGGTGTGCCTCGAGGAATTCGAGAATAGACTATTTATTTATTTATTTAAGTGTAAATGTAGACTGATGTCTCATCCTTTCAATAGTACGGGCGCTGAACGTAATCCAGATCTCGCACAGTAGCCTGACAAGCGTTATTTGTGATAGAATACTATTGTGCGCAGGCGACAACACACCACGGGTGCAGATCACTTAAATAAGTCAGCTATGATCAAAATATAGTGGCTATAGACACTAAGGTAATAGAAAAAATGGCAAACAGTAGAAGAACGCAAGTAAGACAGCGGATATACATCCGTCAGAAGAGCGGGAGAAAAACATGAGGTAAAAGAAAAGTGCAAAGGCGAAAATGTGTCGTGCCGGGTACGATGTTTAACATTTCAATGTGTATTCTCCCGACCATGAGACTAAGGGAGATATGTATCCGCTCCCGGCAGCCTGGCACATATCTGTTGGCCGCATCACCGAAACATCACCCGCAGATTTCATGCAAAGGATGTGGCACCAAAAGCACAAACATCGAGACGGGCGGTTAACAGAAGTTGTAATGTAGACAAAGTAGGCGGTTTAGTATGGAAGATGGTTTAGTGCAGGCACTGTCAACGGACGCCATATGGCCACCCTGGGGGCCATAGAGAATTCCCTGGGGGGCCTGGGATGAGAAAAATGTGTAGGGTGGGGGTATAGAGGGCCATGCCGTGAAAAGTGGGTCGTGATAAGATAACAAAATACATTTCAAAAAATTTCCGATAGTTTCTTTATGCGCACTAATCTACTCTGATAATTACCGGTCAGTGTAATGAATTACGCATGCGCAAGTACCTTTTTACAAAGGTGTGAAAGCCAGACCGGACAGACTTTCGGTTGCGGAGATGACACAGTGAACCAAGGTTACTTTGGACACTAATGCATCGACTGCGCAAGCTGCAGTGATCCTAGCGAAGTCTCATCAGTGCACCGCGGCAATTATGGCACATAGCCACACGGACACTACCTGAGTTTTCCTTAGGGAACTACCACTGTGTGACATGTCATGTGCCAGGCAGTCTCTTTTACTCGTTGGGTCTCAGTGCGGTAGCGCGAGTTTGAGCGTTTTTCTCTCCAGTCTCAGCTCCCAGGTAAGTCTGGCGACTAACTCTTGTTAGCCCGTAACGTTCCGAGTTCGAGCGGCTACTTTGTGCGCGTGGCGTAATAGCTCTGAAGAAGGTTGGTTCCAAGAATCGAGATAGCTATCGGCGCGTTATAACGCTTTCGTAACATTCAGATTAGTTGAATTTTTCCAATTAGAGAGCAGTTTTGTCGACTTATATCATTAGTGTGGATATTCGGTTTCTTTGGTGAGTACATCTAACAATGAGTACACATGGATTCTTCTAACACTCATATTAATCAAATACCTTAGCAGCACGCATTGGGCACCATGTTTGACGCTAATGCCGGTTTCTTGAATTCTCCGGTAGTTTCGTGTTGCTCCCTTATATCCTTCATTTTACTCGTTGTCACCGTCTGCTACAACTTTCCTGTAATGCATATGCGTCCAGTGAGCACTGTCTTTCTCTTAGTTTCATTTGTTTTCTTTATTGGATTTGGTAAGATACTTGCTTCAGTCAGTTTAGCTATCCATGGTATCTTCAAAGTCATCCCCAGAAATGACCTTTGGGTTACCTCTAACAGTGTTTCCACACCTTTGCACTTTAACACTGTAGCCACCACCAGATGCTACAAGTATGCCTAGCAAATCTCTTACAATCTCACGGTAAAGCAAGAATAAATTCAGCGTCACCAATCATTCATACTAAGTATGTGCTTCACTCTGTCGAATTAGGTCATTTTACAATCACGATGTAACTGGATGAGAGAACTAAAGCAAAAGTGTTAATATACAGATCACATCTTAACAAGTTACGATGACGTATTTCAGAAATGAGCTCCTCGGCAAAGCAGTACTGTCGGCAATACTCTATGGAATACCCGTCATTTGGAGTTATCGCATCATCTCAAAACCCCACACTATCTACGTCTTTAATTTGCCAACACTCTTTCCAATGAAAATAGGAGACCGAGTAAACTGAAAAGCCATTTAAAAAGTTTTCGTAAGGACGAAGGCGGAAAATTTGTGGAACTTTTCAAAAAGCTGCGGGATATTATGGAATAGACCAAATTTGAAGACAATGGTTTCTGACATGATAAAAAAAGGCGAATGCAATTACGACGTCTTATAAAATCAGCAAGTTGATTGCCAACAACTGCAGTTCACATAATGTTGGACAAAATATTATCTTGCCTACGGTATGAATAATACTGTCTGACCTGATGAATATAAACCCATAAAAAACAGTTCAAGCTCAGCAACTCAACTACATCGAGTCGAATAGCTGAGATGGCTCAGGACATGAAGTACGTTAGTAAGTTTAGTACAGTCCAGCAGATTTTCGCTACAATTACATGAATCGACTTTACCTGACAACAACGCTCTTTTTGCGGCATATGCGATTCGTCAATAACGAAAGGCCAGTCAATATTTGAAGCAGTCAATGGGTATCTGACTGTAAATATACCAACGCAGAACATAGCTCCATATGCAACAGATAGTGTTGCCGCAATGGTCGTAAGATATAAAGGACCTATTGTCCATTTAGAAATGTTCTCCTTTCTGTTCACTGGGTGATTCATCGAGAGCACCTAGTAGCTAAACATTTGGGAGGGCACCTAAAGGATTCACTATCAACTGTTATAATAGTAGTCAACAATACCAAAGCGAACCCTCTCTAAGATCAACTTTTCCAGCAGTTGTGTGAGGAGAACAGTGAAGATTTTCATGCTCTACTGTTGCACACAGAAGTTAGATGGGTTTCCAAGGGCAACACCGTTTTGTTGTAATCTGAGACACCACCATTACATTTCTCTCTGGAACTGATTATAAAAGAGAACTGTTAACATCTAAGTCAGAAATATTTTATCTGGCTGATAATTGTGAAAAACCCAACTTATTAAAGAAAATCCTTCAAAGCAAGTTGAGTAAACTCATCCCGAGCAAAGAAGCCAATATCGGCCAAAACATCGGGAATTTTCACAGTTCACAATTCTCGCTGCAACCACGGAGGTGGAGACTTGATTTTTTATGCCAGTCATTTACAACAAGTCCGAAAAGAAATGAACGACTGGTTTCATGACCCGATTTACATGGAAATCCAGATTTGGATTTTAGATCCACTTTATGTAAAGCCCTGTAATGTTGGAGTTCCAACCCGGGAAGGACTCATAGTGCTTCAAGATAATAAAAATATCCAGGCAATATATAAGGGATTTTTGGATAAAGACTGATGCCTTTGCCATATATCCCAGACTGTGGGAACTAGCTGAGATATATTTCCTTGGTTTCCCATCCGCATACTTGCTTGAGTGTGGTTTCAGCAGAATGGTTTCGCTAATAGAAATCAGAAACAGAATGGAAGTCACCGCAAGCAGAAATATTGCGACTCTCGTCAAGTCTGGAGCCGAGCATAAGCGAGCTTTTCAGTGATATCAGGCTTAAGGCTCGCATTCATACTTCGACAGAAAATTGCTAAGACATTATTATATAGCTTGCTATATAGCTAACAATAATTAAAAGCAATACTGACTATTAATGATGACTCGTGTAAGCACAGACAAGTGGCTTGATGTTGCCGCACAACGAATGTTATCTTGAGGTTGT